CAGAACTCTCATTTTCTTTGAAAAAGACTGAGGGTTGATTGGCCTCGTCTCGTCTGCGGTATTTCAGAACAAGGAAGCGAGAAATGATGAAATGATGGTTGTGTAAAATCATCGCAAAAAAATATTAAGTGAAAACGATAATCAATGCCGTGAGAAAATCGCTTTGAAAAAAAATCACTTATACGTAGGTAGTTCGAACAAGTTATTGATAAGTTGAAGAGCCAGAAACTAAAACAAACGTATGATATCAAGTACACTTCACATCGAGACTATTGACACTTTGAAGCCACCTGGACTGCCACAAGCACGTGAGTTTTTATTCTTCATACGGGCCCATCTTAAGTTCTTCAATGTGATTCGGGAAAAAGAGGAAAAAGTTTAGGAAGATAGCAGGTGCACGTGCAAGAAAATTCAATTGTCTTGTCTTCAAAAAATTCCAGAGGGCATCAAACTCTGTCGAGCAAATATGAGGAAAGGATGTCCGTTCGATGAGTCTAGGTCTGTCAAATTTGTATGTTGACATAACCGGAATTTCGGTTGGGTCAACCAAGATATTCCGAAATAAATGCACTGATAAGTTCGTGTTCGACGCAATGGAGATGTTGCATGAGTGAGGAATTTGCGATTTGACTGTTGATTCTTGTGTAAAAGTTCGCGAGAAACACGATGGTGCCACTGGTTTTCTCTGAAATCAACTCTCAAGCTCAAAAAAAGCTCTCAAGTTGAAGCCAAAATGGAGGGAATATCCCACGTTATCCTGAGAGTCCACCTCTACATCACGACAAACTCTCCATGCAAAGATAGGGAGCAAATACATTAGCAGTGATGCCGTGTTTTCAGTTTTGGAGTCCCCAAATAAAGTGGCAGCCCTGTCAACGTATATTTGCTCCCTATCTTTGCATGGAGAGTTTGTCTTGATGTAGACGTGGACTCTCAGGGTAGGGTGGGATATCCCCTCCATTTTGGCCTCAACAAGAGCTTTTTTTGAGCATGGGAGTTGATTTCAGAAAAAACCAGTAGCATTATCGTGTTTCTCG